TGAAATAAATAAATACCTACCAATGCAGCACGTGATGCTGTACTGATACGCTGGAAAGTGAGACATGGCAGCCAATTTCTTCCCAAGGAGATAGCTCGATTTCTAGTCATAAATATATCGTCGTGTATCTGTCATGTGTCCCAACTAGATAAGCGAACGGGTGAATGATTATTTTTAATTAGCTTAATTATTTGTATCGTCCGCGTAATTATACAATAATAAGCAATATGCAATATGCCACAACAAATGAGGAAATATTTTGAGAAAATTGATTTTTCATGTCTGATTAGGAATATAACCAAAACATAATTGGGGATTGATTAATTATTGAATAACCAATATTTCTGAAGTCCCCAATCGTATTTGAACATATAGGCCTAGGCCAATCAAGGCTATAATGTCAAACCAACAGGAAGCAAAATCAGTATTCTTCAAAGCAAGGGAACTCATAAAACTGCCTGGGTATAGAACCATTGCAATTGGACTAGATAAGACAAGAAGGCAACAAGAAGAATTCAAGTCACTGAAAGAAGAAATGCAAGAGAGAACTCAAAAAGGAGAAGAAGGACTGCGCATAAAGTATTTCAAAGACATTCCAAGAATTATCAAAGTTAACCAGCCAAAAAACTGAGTGCTACGACAAACACACATGAAGAAAAAACCAAAAAGAGAGAACAGAAAGATTTTCATATAATGCATCAAAATGTACAGTGTATACGCAACAAAACTGATGATCTTGAAGTCTTTCTGAAGACAACAGATGTCCAACCAGAGGTAATATGTTTCACAGAACACTGGCTGAAGGAGGGAGAAGAAAGCTCTATCAGAATAGAAAATTATGAAATGAAATCATGCATGGTACACTAGGAAGAACATGCAGCATGGAGGCGTATGTATCTATACCAAAGATGCATCATATGAATATGAAAGACTTAGGACAATTGAAGAGAACAGTGTGGAAGGTCATATTGAGTGTGCGGGAGTGAGAATGGAAAATAAAGAAGGCAAAATTATAATAATTACCATATACAGAACAGGACTAGGAAGTATGGAAATATTTATCGAGAAGTTAGATGAGATGTTAAGGCAGGTAACAGATAATTTAAGAAATTTAAAATCATAGTGTGTGGAGATTTCAATATAAATCTTTTAGAAAAAAATACACAATCTGAAATATTCTTAGAAATAATGCAATGCAACAACTTACATCAATCAATCTTTGAGCCTACTAGAGTAACAACAAACACCAAAACATTAGTGGATAATATATTCACTAATTTTGAAGAATACCAAAAAGCAAAAGTTGCTCAGTTAGCAATATCAGACCACCATGCACAAATTCTAGAATTGAAAATTGGTAAAGAAAGCCAAGCTGAAAATGTTTTAATGAAACGTATCTTCTCCAAAAGTAAACTAAAAAGTTTCACCCAAGAACTAGCTAGAGAGAATTGGCATGATGTACTTGATCTTGTTAATGTTATTGAAGCTTACAATCTATTCTACTGCAAAATCAAAAACTTGTTGAACTTAATATTCCCTGTAAAAAAGAGTAAACTAGCTGAACAGTCAAAAACATGGATTACAATGGGCATAAAAATATCATCAACAAAAAAACGATCATTGCACAAACAAATGCTAGCAGGGGAAAATTGGGGAAGACATATACAAAAGTTATGCACAAATCTTGAAAAAAGTTATAAAAAAAGCAAAATATCTCTCAAATCAAGAATATATTACAAAATCTGAAAATAAAGCAAAAGCAACATGGTCACTAGTGAAAAAAGTTACTCAAAATAAAAACACAAAAACAAAAAGCATTATAGAAAATATGAAAGATGAAGCATCCTTAACAACAACAACAGAGATTCTGAACCAAGCTAAATGCATATTTCATTGATGCATGCCCGGACATTAGGAAAGGGGAACTTAAATATGAAAAAATTAGGGAGAATAAAAATAACTGCTATTTGACATTGACAAATCCACATGAAATAAAAAAAAATAATTAAAGAGTTGAAAAATAAAAAATCAGTAGGAGAGGATGAAATACCAGTAGTAATACTTAAAGAAACAGCTCACCTGATAACTGTTCCAATATCACACATTATAAACCTAGCTTATTGCACAGGAGTATATCCAGAGAGTCTCAAAGTAGGATGTGTACGAGCCATACATAAAAAAGGAATGAAAAATGATTTCAAAAATTACAGGCCAATTACATTACTATCAAATATAAACAAAATTTTTGAAAAAAGTATTTACAACAGAATTATACATTCCTAGAGGAAAATGATATTCTAACAAAATGTCAAAATGGTTTTAGAAGGAACAAGAACACAGTGAGAGCAGTATATCAAGCGCTTACATCAGTGCTCAAAGAACTAAACAACAAACAAAAACCATCAGCTCTGTTCTTGGACCTTTCAAAAGCATTTGACAGTGTTGATCACACAATCCTGTGCAAGAAACTAGAACTGCAAGGCATAAGAGGAACAGTGCAAAACCTAATTAAGTCATACTTACAAAACAGGGAACAATGTGTAAAAGAATATGGAGAGAATGGTAAAGTATTCAAAACAGATAAATTATTAATTAAAAAGGGAGTTCCACAAGGGTCAATACTGGGGCCGTTACTATATATTCTTTACACTAACGATCTGCCAAAAATAATGGACCAAACCATGACCATGATAATGTATGCAGATGATACTGCCATAGTATTTAGCGAAAAAAACGAATGAATTATGTAAACTCAAAATGGGAAAGCACAATAACTAAACTTGATGAATGGTTCCAAGACAATAATCTTCTTCTAAATTTAGGAAAAACACAAGTTATCAATTTTGGAAAGCAATTTGAACATAAGTCAATATGTTACAATAAGATTGATATTGTGGCAGAACCATTTGTATCATTTTTAGGGATTGTAGTTGATCATAGGTTAGATTGGGAAAACCATATAGAAAAGCTATCACAATGTTTGGCAAAGTTTAGCTATGCACTAAGAACTGTATCACAATCATTGAGTCCGGAGGTATCACTAACAACATACTATGCATATGTACAATCAAAAATTAGCTATGGGATAATATTCTGGGGAAAATCAATACATGCACAAAGGATATTCATATTGCAGAAACGATGCATAAGAAACATATTTCAAATAAAACGCCGTGAAAGTTGTAAAAACATATTTATTCAGCAAAAATTTTAACAGTGGTAAGTTTGTATATTCTAGAATCTGTACTCTTTGTAAAAAAGAATTTTGATTTATTTGAAGACTGTCTGACAGAACACCAATACTCTACCAGAAATAAGAGTAACCTAGGAACAGACCTCACCCAATATACATATATACAAAAAAATGTTGACTACTCAATTAAAAAAATATGGAACAAACTGCCTGCAAACTTGAGAAATTTAGAGTACCAACAATTAAAAAATAAAATTAAAATCTTCCTTCTCGATAAAGCATACTATGAACTGATTGATTTCATGAATGATAGCCTATATGAAATATTGTAATGCACAAAGATATCAAACAAACAACATTCCATGCTCAACTACCTATATGTGAATTATTGTCCTGCACAGAATATAATATGTAACCATTTGTAAAAAACTGCAGATATGTATAAAATAATAATATGTGTATATATTTTTTATCAATATGTTTTGAATAATTGTAAGTAAGCAAATTTTTTTTTGACGTGTTCTACACCCGAAAGGGTATTATATGGAACAAATAAACTACTATTCTATTCTATTCTATTCTATTCTATGACAACTGTGCTATATGGTCTGCCCCTACTTAAGAAATCGTGAGGTCAGTTTTTATTCGCGGTAAATTTTAAGCCGTTTGAAAATTACCGTAGCATTATTGGTGGTTTTAGCACCTCAAAATCGTACAAAAATTCCTAAAAAAATGGAATTAAAAAGAATAGTCCACCCGCCTAAAATTCAGTCAAACGAGTGTGCAATGAAATTGTGTCGAAATCATATTGTCAATATTTGTTCATCTAATCAACCCAAGAATTGTATGTTTTTGTTATAGTGTATGTATATGTGCACAGTTTTGAACCGATTCAATTTTTCTATCATAGCAGAAGAAGAATCAAAAGGTTTTCCGTCACATAAATTTGCAAGATATAATTCCAATTTTTGACGCCTGCCATGTTATTTAAAAATTTTAAAAATTGCGAAATATCAAATATCAAATATCATGCGACAATTTCTGAGAAGCCACAACATTGTCAACACAAATCTTGGAAGTCAATGATATTTCTGGTAGATATTTGAATTTATCTCTTTTCTTGGGATATAACATCTAGAATGGTACCTTCATGGAATGAAGTGATGAATCTTATCCATAAATACCGTTCTAGATGTTATAACTTGATGAGAATTTGTGTTCTGAATTCAAAAAATATCAAAATTCAAAATATCTCAATGATTTTCAACATTTTTGTTGACAATGCTGCCGTTCCTCAATATTTGAGATATTCATAAAAAATGGTATGTTACTAAAATTAATGTTGTTTTAACTTTGTTGCCTATCGAAGATGCTGATATTTCGCGATTATTAACATGAACAATAAAACATATTCTGCCCTGGAAATTGGAATAATATTTCGAAAATTTGTGTAAACATTGACCTTTTGATACTCTTTCTACTGAAGTAAAGAAAATAATCTGCTGAAACCTATAGATTTTATAAAGGTGCTCTCGTTCAAAAGTGGGTCACACTGAATTTATATCGAATATTTCTTGATATATACAGTCTGTCCAAGATAAGGTTGCACAGCATGGGGATCTCGGAAACGGTAGGAGATACGAAGTCGGTTAAATGGGGAAAAAGTTGCGCATTCGGAGGCTCATACCAACAGCCTTCGAAAATTTTCAAATTTTTTTCTAGTTTTTCAGTTATATCGAAAAAAGTGAATTTTTGGAATCTCTATTTTATTTTTTTTTCTCTGTTATTATTAGAGATACAAGGAAACTGGAAATACTTTTTCATAGCAACTTTTGATGACGTTCACGTGGTGATACCGATTTTTCTATGCGACGTTTCGTATTCGTAGAACCATCATCAACTTTTGTTTTTTAAATATGGCCCTGATAATTCTTTCACAGATTATGAAAGCTTTCTTATTCTGAATTCAACCATGTATTATACAAGGTGTTTTGAATGTTTTTCGAAATATTTTTAGCGATCATCAATGTTTTTTTCGAAATTACAAAGGAAAAATGCCATCAGTTTCACTTATTTCTGATTATATTAAAAATAGTTCGAGACACATTCAAACCACCTTGTATAATACATGGTTGAATTTAGAATAAAAAAAGCTTTCAGAATCTGTGAAAGAATTATCAGGGCCGTATTTAAAAAACAAAAGTTGATGATGGTTCTACGAATACGAAACGTCGCATAGAAAAATCGGTATCACCACGTTAAACGTCATCAAAAGTTGCTATGAAAAAGTATTTTCAGTTTTCCTGTATCTCTAATAATAACGGAGAAAAAAAATAAAATAGAGATTCCAAAAATTCACTGCAAATCGATCAACATAATCATATATCACCTTATATATACCAACTGTGCCATTCACAGAATGATGAATTTACCAAGTGAAATATAATCTCAAGAGTTGTTTTTTTGGCAGCAACTCGTTTATTACGCCTCGTATAATAGATTTGAATAAATTCCCTTGCAAGTTTTCACGGTAGTCTGTACTTTTGATTTTTTTAAATTTCACATAACGGGTGGTACAATCGCGAGTGCGTAGAATGTAAAAAGATCACTCTGTACATTGGTTGTATAACTTATATACTTTTTTCATTGTAATCCAGGATCCTGTTCCCGTAAAACCGTGGCAAGGAACGAAAGATGCTACAAAAGAAGGATCAGTCTGCTACCAAAGAGATTTCTTCACTAACACATACAAGGGATCGGAAGATTGTTTATTTATAAATGTTTTCACAAAATCAGTGAGTATGTAGCTTATATAGTATATTATGTCCGTATGAACGTCGTTGCAGTGGAACTACACTTCCCGACGAATTATTTACTTTTTTTTGTTGGATCATGAATAATATGCCAACAAGATATTCTCGAGAAACGAAGAATTTTATTTTATCCCTTTCTCCTCCAGAAGCTATAAACAATAAGTATAAAACACGGCATTATTGAATTATTAAAAAAATCGAAACCAAATATGGAATATTATTCATTTATATTCTAATTCACTTCGTATTTTTTCTAATGTTTTTTTCAAATAAATATATTTATATCAAATCGCACTATATTAAAATTTTTGATAATTTAATGATACAGATATACGCAGAATGAAAAAATGTTGAGCATCCATCCAGTGACTTTGAAAAGAAACATATTATTGTTTATTGTTTATTGAAAAACTAGGGTCCCTTGATGGAAATTGACGTTAAAGTCATCTTAACAGGGTACGGACAGATCATAGCTGCATTCTTTTTTAATGATCTAGAGACTTTAGTTTTGTCTACTGGCATCCCTGACATTGCTGTCACGTCACATCCATGGGCGCTACAGAAAATCATTCAAAATTTTAATAATAGGTATGTACAGGGTATTTGATTGTTGAGGAAGATCATATGGCGAACAAGTTTTGTAATGAAGATCCGATTCTAATCAAAATTGATATCTGGGTGTTTTCGAGGTAGGAGATAATGATTGTTTCGTCAAAATTGGAAAATTCATGATGACTGATCCAATATGGCGAAAGACATTAGTTTATATAATTATTACTCTATCACAAATAGAAAATATGTAAGATGCAAGAGTGAAAATAACGTGCCTATAAGTTATACTGCGTATACCTACTTGTTTGTTACTTTCATCAATAAATTATTTGAAAATGACTTTTTATTGAAGGGAGACGGAAGAATCATATGTATAACATGGGGGTGAAGTATATTCTAGGTATACTTCGTTTTCCTGCACATTTTACGTATTACTTTTTATCAGCCTACTTTTCGTCCTAGACGAAGTTTTATACATACTGATATTAGTCACTCCATTAATTCTTCTTCGAGTTGGATTTCCGAAAATATATTTAGCACACCTATTACATGAGTACAGTAGTTTAGATATTCACATCGAGGTTTTCACCATTTCTAAATCATAAGGCTCAGCTCATTCAGCTCATAGATAAACTACTGCTCAGTTTGAAATCAGAATTCATTTAGTCAATTCAGTCAAACCTTTGTATACAGTCTAAGAACAGTCTCATTTGGTGAAATATATTGAGCATTCAGTACAATTCATATGTTCCCTTAGCTAACTTTCAAAAATTATGCTGGAGTAGTAAACTCTAAAACTAGAGGATTTTCATCTTTATTTTGGTATAGTTGAATCAGGAATTCAATATGGAAATTACGTATGATACGCCAGTGACCTCAATATAACCTAAAAAGCAACAAATGTCAAAAATCTAGTGTTTATCCCCAGAATTGGATAAGGATGAAACTATATAACTGTTTCACAAACACTTTAGAGTGAGAGGAGACGAGGGTCTGTCCGTACCCTGTTAAGATGACTTTAACGTCAATTTCCATAAAGGAACCCTATGAAAAACGAGCTTCCAGTCAGAAATAAAATTCTGATATGAGAAAGTTGATTAAAAACAACAATAATGAAATAATATAAGGTGACAACAACAACAAAAAAATCTAAAAAATCTAAAAATGCTAAATCGATCAAGTCATAAAAATAGCCACAGGGACTAATCAGTAGATGGCAAAGTATAAATTTTATCCATTTCGTAATGAAATCATGTGTTTTTTTTTCATTCAATTTTGAATTTTGAAATATGTCTGCAATTTTTTATATTATGTGGTAATTTATTAAATTCAGCTAGAGCAGCGTAAGTAAATTTTTTGGCCAATTATAGAAGTAGCAGAATCAAGATGAAATAAGTGTGATTGTCTCGTGTGATGATCATGAATTTCTGAGTTTTTTATCAAAATAAAATTGGATTTCAGATTATTGTTTATTATATTATATGAAACTTTAAGTGAATTTATTTATATAATTCATGCAATGAAAATTTTTCTGTTACGGCATACAGATCATTTTTGTTGGGATATCAAATGAGAGGCGATACAATACTTTCAGTGTTTTCTTATGAAGTGCAGATATTTTGCTGAAATAATTTTTTGAACAAGATCCCCAAACGTTTATCATATAGGTAATACGACTGAATATATGAGAATGAAGTACTATGTTTATGACTTTTTTGTCAAGTTTAGGACATCTTCGCAAACCTCCAATGATCGGAGATATTTTTTGTATGAATAATTCATCGCAGATATCCAACAGTTTCAGAACTTTTTTTCATAAATGTGAATTCTGAAATATTCACATTTATTTATCACTTATAATTACACGAGAGCTTTTTTTTTCGAAGTTAACTTGGCATGTATCAATAATAAGAATATTGTTGCCTGGCAATTTGACGAAAAAAAAATGCTTCTGAAAAAATTAGTCCGTAGGACGAGTAATTTTTTCTGGAAGTTTTTTGACGAATGATTCATAATCTCCAACCCCGAGAACCCCAGATACAAATTTCGAATATAATCGGATCATAATTACAATACAGGTCCGCCATATTGGATCCGCCATCTTGAATTTCCTAATGACAACAAAATTCGAATTAATAATGTCAAGTTTACTTCCACTAAAAAAAGCTACAGTGTGAATCGGTAAGACAATTTAATTCATCAAACATTTGTTCATGGCTGGTTGTCATGATTTCAAAAGTAAGGTTCCGTTATTGTCGCTGGAAAAGTTCGGGCAAACTTTTTTCGCTGTCATAATGACAAAATCACGAGGCTTGTGGGATTTTTCATACATGAATTAAATTGTCTGTGAAATAGATTCCTGTTCAACTATTTCTTCAACTTTTCAGCTACCTGGACAAAAAAGCACATTGAGACCCGTGATGGTGTACATCCATGGCGGGGGCTTCATCTTTGAGTCCAGCAGCCCTGAAACTTTCGGACCAGAACACCTAATCACAGAAGATGTTGTATTCGTATCCTTCAACTACCGACTCGGAATTGTAGGTAGGTCTGGAAACAATCGAGCAATCCATCTATAAATACATGGAGATATGTCAATAGATACAAGGTGATTGTTTGTCCGAATCAGCCACCTAGGTCACCAGACCTCAATCCAATGGATGATTTTTTTGGATGACGCGGATGGAATCATCAGCTCATGTAACGACGTAATTAATTAGAAATTTTCTGATTGATCAAAATTTGATTACTCATTGTATACTTCAGAATCTGATCTACAGTGTGACCCACTTCTAATGGAAACACCCCGAAAATTGGGGTGGTTCCATGGCTGTTGGCGAGCAGTGTATAGCACTGAAGAGGACCCCACTTGGTCATAGATCGCATTATTGGTATATCTCTCGCTCCAGCGAATTTCAGGATCCTCACCCAACGATTACGTAAGATACAGGGGTGTTTCCGTTAGAAGTGGGTCACACTGTAGATCATGAAGAAACATTCTTGACAGGTAGATCTCTTTCGACTGATTGATATCTGCTCATTTCAAAATAAGCAAGGATTTTTGACTAGGCCATCTCTCATGACTGACTGATCGTTCTCTCGTGACATCAATATTTCTTCACCTATAGCAACAACTGTGTTATTGTCTACCTCTAATCTATTCTACGAAATCCTGACGTCAGTTCTTATTTGCTGTAAATTTCTATAGTCGTTTGGAAATTACCGTGGCACTGTTTATGATTTTTTGACCTCAAAATTTTTCGTAAAAATCTAAAATAATATTGATCGAAAGGTAGTTGAGTGATGATTCTTCAAGAAAAAAGGTATGGGGACAGTCTTTAGGGACTGTTACTTGATAATTGTATATCGTCGAATTTTTGAATTATTATTTTTCTACTATTCTGTAGTTCGCTTGAATCTCCCAATTTTGACGAATGATTCATAATCTCCAACCCCGAAACCCCAGATACAAATTTTGAATAGAATCGGATCATAATCACAATACTTGTCCGCCATAATGGATCCGCCATCTTGAATTTCCTCATTTTGACGAATGGATATACAAATTTTGAATAGAATCTGATCATTATTACTTACATGACTTGTTTGTCATTCTGATTCCACCATCTTGAATCTCGAAATTGCGACGAGAGAATCATAATCTCCGAATCCGAAAACATACATAAATATGTATATGATAATCGGTTGAGTAGTTTTTTCAGTTTTTTTTTCATTTTCTGCTTCCCACGAAAAGGAACATCGTGAGAACCAATAGAAATTAGGTAAGAATTGGTGTTCTTCCTGAATCTCTGGAGGTTATATGCCCCGGGGAACACCTCCCTTGGCAATGTGTTCCAGAGTCTCGCTGTTCGTTGGATGAACGAGTCTTTGAAAAGTGATGTTCTGCAGGTGACTACGAAGGGGTGCGAAGCCTAAACTCGACGGATTAATCTCGCGGGGACTGCCAAGGGAGGAACAATTGTTGATATTTCAGAAGAGCATCGTCCATGAAAATATCTATAAAATAGAGCCAGATCTCCAACTTTTCTACGGTGTTCTAGAGAAGGGAGTGAGTTTGTGAGCAAGGCATCACCCAGGAGACGAATTGCCCTTGACAAGTCGGATCTGTGCCTTATAGATCATAAGCAGCTGACTGAAAGTGAAATAGCTCCTGGCCCGAAACAGAAAACCAAGTTTTTGGGATGCACTTTTAGCAATTGAATTCAAGTGATTTTCCCAAAACAGGTTATTGCTGATAGTAATACCAAGCATCGAAATGGATGTCTTCAAAGGTATGGTTACTCCTGACAAGCTTATGTTCGGTACAGTGAGATCGACTTTTCTAGAGAGAAGGCATGCTTGTGTTTTGTTTGCATTGAAATCTACCAAATTTTTGGATCCCCATTCGAGAATTGTTGCAAAGTCCATAGTTATGTTGTCAACATTTCTCCCTCGTTCGTTTTTGATTTGCCTGGCTGGTATTGGAGCCCTGGAAGAGTAGGCGGTATGGAGGGTACTATCATTCGCGAAGCTGTGTAGTGGACATGAAGTTGCTTCCAACAAATCGTTGATATGGAGTAGAAATAGAGAAATAGTGTTGGTACTAGAATTCATCCTTGTGGAACACCAGCATTTATGGTAAGAGAGTCAGATGAAACTCCGTCGACCACTACATGGAGAGACCTGTTTGAGAGAAAACTAGCTGGAAGAGTTATAGCGTGGAAACCTAACAAACAAACAATGACGTGACGATGACGCGAAATTCAAGTTTTTCTTCACCCAAAAATGTGTTTGACGCGCCCAAAGAAGTTTTCACTTCAAAAAAAAATTAGTTCACTTGCCTATTCTAATAACGCCTATATCTAATCTTTTAGGCTTCCTCAGCTCCGAAGACGCTTCTCTGGGAGTCCCCGGAAATGTCGGACTCAAGGATCAAGTCCTCGCGCTGAAGTGGATAAAGAACAACGTGAAGAACTTCAACGGAGATCCGGACAACATAACGATATTTGGCAACAGCGCCGGTAGTACTTGCGTTCATCTCCACGTTCTATCCAAGATGTCCAAAGGACTTTTTCACAGGTACCTACTTCAGGTTCTTCAAAAATAGGATAAATTTGAAGTTTATGTGAAAACAATACCGAGTGACAGCGACATCATTGGACACAGTATCATTCAGCTATTTTTTCTAATGTGACACATTCCAAAACTGACAAGAGTTTTTCAAAACGTCTCACTTTACTTAACCAGTTGTGTAATAGTATATTATGTAACAAGTGTTATAAACGTCCTTTTAGTAACGGGTATATTTTGTAGCATGTAAATATTCACTACTGTATATTTTGTCTGATTCTATAATATTCTGTAATGCTGAGCACATCTGACAGGATATTTTGTCACAATTTCATGGTTTACATTTTTCAATAACATAAATTGAACTCAATCTGTTTTATATTATTTAATTATTCTCAAACCTGATATGTGGATACACACCTGAGATTTCACACTGTACATAAAATAAAAATACAATTTCTATAAATACACTGATATCTCTTGCTATATCTGCTTTGTTGTGATCCAAGTAGAAGGATGATTCGGATGGTTTTTACAGAAACTTATCTGAAAGAGATAAATAATATAAAGTAATATGAAATACCTTTTCAGAGACATTGTCATACTCACTTTTCACACTGCTATTTCCACTTGAAACTTCATCACAGTAGGACAATAGGTATTGGATTTTCCAGGAATGCTGAAGCGGATGGTTTCACTAGGAATCGACCATGGTGAATCAATTAACTTCGTTTGTCATAATTTTCTTGATTGATGCATTTGATAAATTCAGGTAGATGTTTTGATCTTGTTGATCTGTTATTTCGCTTTACGTCAATTAGCTGTCGGTCATGACACCATGTCAACAGTGTCAAACTTGTCATGCGCCAAACGCCGATTCGGATTGATATGTCCTTAGATCATCATCGTCGAACCAACAAGACGAGTATTTGTGAAGAAAGGTGTGACGTCATTTTAGTCATCAATTCTGATTGGTTCAGATAGTCATCTGGGAAGAATCAAGTCTCTGGAGGGAGTAGCGGTAACGTCTTTTATTTTGGATATTCAAATTTTCCGCCAATTTGGAAAGCGGAAACTGTTAAGTTGTTCTCGAAGTTTCTGGAAATTTGGAGAAGGGATTTCCTTTCTGCTCGTGAGACGAGAGCTCACTTCAGAAAAATTCTTCGTGGTGGTCAAGTGCCATTTTTGTGGTGTGAACCGGCTTCTGGAGTCCTGTACCGCCTGGCGTTCTGGATCACATCAGGATATCCTGGATTTGTTGCTGATCTACAAGGACTGCTGGACTCTACAGATTTCTTCTGGTTTTGGTTTAAGAGGCAGGATCTTCATGGTTCATCACCCAGGCAGCCACGTGCCTACCTTCATCGTCATTTCAATCCCTAACCCTTCATAGAAGGTGAGTCTCGCATTATTACGTTTTTTCTCTCTGCAGTCCAGAAATTCAGAACCTCATTTCATGAATTATTTAAGGGTTTTTTCACCGGGAGTTTTCTACCGGGAGTTCTACAACGGGAGTTATCCTACCAGGAGCACTATTCTTCCCAGGAGTCATTGCTCGACCAGGATCTGTTATTTCTACAAGGCCTTTGGTGGCTATATAGTAGTCTGGAATCTGGATATCGTCCCCTGCTTGTTCCTGATGATGGATTTTCAAGGTGGAAATACGACAACTCTGTCAATGTCATCTGACATCCAGGGATGTGAAGTCAGCACCCCGCTCTCCGCCAACCTTCCCCTCAGCAGCTTCATTTGGTAGCACTGAATGCTACTCTGGATAACTGGTGTAGGACACACCATACAGGTTTTTGACATGAAAATATATTTTTATTTTTCATTTTTATTCACTCATAATGCCCATTGCTAGTGTGTATAATGGACCATTTTTAAATCATAGCCAGGTCATAAATTGATGAAATCACACATGAAAGGTACATACTTCCCCTCCACATAGTATACTATGCGCTGGTAGAATTCTTCCATTTTCAATATTTTTTTAAAATCTGCTATGACTATAAAACGTCCTTACAGGAGCTTTTGAATTTTCAAGTACAGTATAAAGCGGCGTTCACAACCAAACTTTTTACGTTTTGCTTTTTACGTTTCGTATTCTGATTGGTGAAGCAGAATATGTAATTGAAATGACGCAAAAAGCTGAAAATATTCAGCTTTTTGCGTTGCAAGAAGCCATCGTCTGTGAAAATAGTAAAAATAGACGAATAATATGAAACATTCTGTAATAATATGGAAGTTATGATGTTTTCATGATTTTTTCGTGAATCCACAGAATAGTAGATAGGTATACTGTTCAATTCATTATTTTCTTGTTGAAGATTGATTTTTCTCTTCAAGTATTGAATAAGGATCAATTTTTATCACCGCCAGTTCTATCAATTCAATATTATTAATTATCTGATCAATATTATTGTTATGATTATTTACTTCATTTCAGTATGAAAAACATATAACAAAACCAAGGCAACTGAGCCATAAAAAGTCACGACTTTGTTGTTGTTGTTGTGAATGACATTTTCTCACGTTTAATTTCAGATTCTGCTTCACCAATCAGAATACGAAACGTAAAAAGCAAAACGTAAAAAGTTTGGTTGTGAACCCCGCTTAAGGTTGATTTATATATATTTTCATCCACATAATAGCAGGCAACAACAGTGTAGTTTCTTAACAGGAAATGAGTATCTAATTTTTTTATTATGCATATTTGTCAAAACCTGTGATGTGATATGAGTCCTATCATCATAATTAAATGTTTTGGGTATTGTATATATGACTGTTTTATTTGTTTATTGACATGACACTCCAACTCAACATCTCTAAGGTAAATTTAGGTCTTTTAGTCTGGGAGAACAACTAATATTATTCATTATCTGGTTGCTCAACTTTCCAGGTAACATTTCATTTGAATTAAAAGTTGCAGTGGCGCCCCATCTTTTCTGTTTAACCTTATGATTGCTAGATAACTGAATTTTTGCTATTTTAACTCATTTTGATAACTCGAACTCATAGTGCCTACTGACGAAGAGCTGCCGTTCGCAATGCACCTATTTTTCATAAAAGTAGGGCTGCAAAGATGACGTCCGAACGTGGGGGCCCGAGTTTTTAGTTAGGTTATTAGTAATCAACAGTTGTGAGTGTCTTGTTGATGAATGAATAAAATGTTTATGGTTTGGAAACAGCTGATAGTTTGACGGAGAGCCAGGAGAGTTGTTTTTACCACATTTTGTTTTGGTAGGTAAAAAATTTATGGGTTTTTATGAACTGATTTATGGTGAGTATACACATATCAGGTTTCATAATATTTGAGAATCCAGTTTTTTGATTTGAGATTTAATTAAATAAGCTGCTTCAGACAGTGCCTGAGATAATACTACGTACAGTGTTGCAACATTTAAATAATTTCCTTAGAAGTTGGAACAACAGTTTTGATATTTGATTTTGAACTGATTCAAAATGGATCAAAATTTTAAAGCTAATCACTTGCTGCAGGCTGAACTGAATTATGAGTTGAGAATTCGAGGTGTAATTTCTGAACGGAATCAAGATGAAAAACGTAAAATTCTTGGAAGACTTCTGTTTAAAGAAAAACAAAGTGGTACTAATGTAATGACTTTAGTTGATGAAGCTGCTTATAACTTTGATATAGAGCGAGTAGAAATTCAGTCCACTTTAGATTCTATTAAATCACTTATTGAAGGTTTTGAAGGTCCTTCATCAGATTCTGTTTACAAAAGAGCAACCTCTAGAATAAATCATATCAGTTTTCGCATAAACAGAATTAAGTTACAGCGGGAAGATTTAAATTATAGGGACGTATTGAATTTCAAGAATGAAGCTTATGCTACAGCCCTGCAATTTGATGCTGAATTAAATGAGAATGTTCAGGATGATGATGTCACTATTTTTACACCACAAGCCAGTGCTTCTACTACTGCTAACACCTTTAGTAATACAATTGTGAATTCTCATAAGTCAGTTCCTGTCTATAAATTGAATATTCAATTTGATGGTGAACCAAAAAATCTCCTTTCATTTATTGAACGCATAGAAGAAGTAGCTCAGGCAAGGCATGTTAGTAAAGCTGAACTTTTTGAATCTGCTAGTGACTTATTCAGTGGTAAGGCTACATTTTGGTTCAGACAAATCAGAACACAAGTTAATAGTTGGGAAACTTTGGTCATAAAATTGAAAAAGGATTTTTTGATGTCAGACTTTGATGATGAAGTGTGGAACCAAATAAAATCACGAAAACAAGGAAGAAATGAACCTGTAGTAATTTTCATAGCTTGTATGGAAACTTTATTCAGTAGACTCAGTCGTGGAGCCGCAGAGCTCACTAAAGTTAAATTAAAATGGGACTACAGGGTGAATACCTTAAAAGACTTGCACTTAGTGATATTGATAGTGTTTCTACCCTAAGTACACTTTGTAAAAAGCTTGAAGAAGCTGATATTCTTAGCTTGGCATCTGGTTCACAGTCACAGTATCAGAAACCTTTTCAATGTATGATTGATCCTGAGTTGACACATTTTTCAGATACCCTTTCAAGTTCTACAACTAACAATCAGAATTTTCGGAGGAATTTTCAACCTCGAAAGCGAAATTTCAGCAATAAGAAATTGAATAAAAATGTCAGTACAAATAAACAAGTTAATGTTACTAGTTCAAATGCAAACTCATCAAGTTCATCAGTATTATGTTGGAGGTGTTTACAACCAAACCATACCTTCAGGAACTGTAGAGCTACTGACAATATCATTAAGAAATTTTGTTTTAAATGCGGTTGTGCAGATGTAACTTCAAAGGAATGTACAAAATGTCAGGGAAACTAGTAAGGGAGGTGAAGTATTACGACTCTTGTTTCCCTCCATTATTTGAAAGAGTCAACTCAATTTCAAGATCAAATTTTTTCAATCCCAAGGAATGGAATGATTGGAAAAATACTGTTAGAGATTTTTATAAAAATTATGTTTTCCATAAAAATTTAAATGTCGCAC